GGCAGTGCTGTGGGCTCCCCTAGGGCAGCTGTAGAAGCAGTGCTGTGTGGGCACCTAGGGCAGCTGCAGGGGCAGTGCTGTGTAGGCTCTCCTAGGGCAGCTGCAGAGGCAGTGCTGTGGGCACCTCTGGGAGGGCAGCTGCAGGGGTAGTGCTGTGTGGGCACCCCTGGCAGTGCAGGGGCAGTGTTGTGGGCACCCCTGGCAGTGCAGGGGCAGTGTTGTGGGCACCCCTGGCAGTGCAGGGGCAGTGTTGTGGGCACCCCTGGCAGTGCAGGGGCAGTGCTGTGGGCACCCCTAGGGCAGCTGAAGAAGCAGTGCTGCAGAAGGTTGGGCAGACATGAGGCATTTGGAAGGAGGTAGCGAGTATCCAGCCCAGGAATTCCTGTCGTTAGATTGGCCATGAACTGCTGCTTCAGAAGGGGATGGACACCACATGGCTGGGAAGACTGGGGAGCTTGTTTTTCCATGTTTTGTGTAAGCTGAGATCTTTTTCTTGGGTGGAGGTTGGACTGTATGCCCTTTGAGATCCCTATACTGTTAGTAGATTCAGAAGGAAACAGTGTTCAGGCCACTAAGGGAGGTAGAGTCACTTGTAGGATAGACACACTGTTGTTTACAGCAAGCGTGGGCTGGTCTTTGCGAGGTCTCTCCATTTGGTGAGTCGTCTAGTACCATCCCTATGACCGGGCTTTACTTATTGAAGTCCCCCACCCCTCTTTCTCTCTCTTGTATGTAATTCCTCAGAAGCTATCTACCTTTTACTTGTGTGGGAGTGAGTATGGGTATGCCATGGTACACGTGGGGAGGTCAGAGGGCAACTTGTAGGAACCAGTTCTCTTCTATTCTGTGGGTGTTGGGGACTGAACTCAGGTTTTCAGGCTTGGTGTAAGGTAGCTTGACATAAAGGCTCTCTTACTGGTATAGCATCGGTCTATCTACCTATCTACCTACCAATCTACCTATCTCTGATCTATCTCCCTGTGACAGAGTCTCTCATCTGCCTGCCTGCCTGCCTGCCTGTCTGTCTGTCTGTCTATGAATCTATGAATGGCAAGGTCTCTCCCTTTTACCTGGCACTCACCAACCAAGCCACGTTGGCTGGCAAGCAAACCCCAGAGAAGCACCTGTTTCTGTTTCTCCAGCCCTGGGATTAGAAGCACATGCAACAATGCCAGGTCTTCTTCACACAAGTTCTGGGGATTAAACCTAAGTGCTTGTGCTTGCAAGGTAAGCACTTTATGCATTCAAGCCATCTCTCCAACCATTCCGTTTGAACATGTAATTGGCAAGCAATCGTTGTCTGTATCTATGGGACATACTGTGAATGTTTTGGTGCGTGTATACATTATAGAATGAGTCTATTAAACTAATTAGCATAACCATCTCTTATACTTATCTGCTTTTTTTTTGTAGCATCATCCTCTTGGAATCTGAACGCTTTCTTGCATGAGAGCAAGAGGGTGGAGTTGCAGCTCTGCCAAATGGCTCTGAACCTGTTACCTGCTTTATTGTGGCTGCCGTGTAGCAGCCGGTAAGTTGATTAATGCACCATTAAGCGTTACCCACGTGCTTGTAAAATGCTCTTCTGAGCACCACGCCTTTAGAGAAGTCTGCAGTGCTGTCTGCTTTACCACTCTTTCCATAGTTCTTTCTTTCTTTTTTTTTTTGAAGGGGAGGAATTTCATTAAGGTCTCATTCACCATGTTATGTTCTAACAGAGACGAAGGCAGCATCTTGTTACAGGATCCAAGGAAGTTATCCGAAAGAGAGCACCATTAGCTCATGGCCTTGTGCCCTCTGGAAGGATGGGGAATGAGGTCTGAGGGGCCTGACTCTCTAACTCAGCTAAGGTGCTGGCTGCTGCTGAACACTTACCACAGAGTAAGGCACAGTCCACACGGACTTCTGGACTGACGTGTTTCTGGGTGCTGAGCTAAGGAAATGGTTCTCTGAGGCCAGTACCCCGTCCTTAAAGCCAGGGCACATTTGTAGATGCAAAGAGCACTCAGACTGTCATATCACACACCAAGACTATGACGCTACATGGACCCAGTCCATAAAGCCTTTGTGAGACGGCTGGACAGGACCATTGTGCAACCATCGGGAAACAGATACAAATGGGTTGCTGACTTGCCCAAAGGCACGTAGCTGGGAAGTGGGTTCCAAACTGGAGTCTGCTCTGGACCGTTCCCAAACACACCACTGTAGGATCTCCAGCTATATCTCAAGTAAGATCCCTGCTTCACTGATAGCAAAGCATCCCCTAACTCAGGAAAGTCTCAGGAGGAAGGGGCTTGGGGTGGAGAAACAATTAACCAATCTCTTCCTCCTCCTCTTCCTTTAAGACTCCTTGTATGCCCAGTAGGGAGGAGAGGCCGCATTAGAATTCTCTCTGAGTTAACAAATGGAAGAATTTCAGTGGCCCCATGGGGCTGAGAACGTCATCAGGGTAGCTAGCAATGGAAGGTGAGGGGTTGCTTCATTTCCAGAACAGAGGGGCTGAGGCTGTCTCTAGAGGCCAGGGCTCAGGAGATGCAGCAGGACTAAGCCTCTGATTCTTGGCATTTACTCGGCTGTTCTGATTTCTTTTTTTTTTTTCCCCTCTTGCATTTCTGGTTCATTATTTATAGAGCGGAAGGTGGTGGCAGCTCCCTGGCAGGTGGGATGTGCAGGAAAGAGGCCCAAGCAGCATCCCAAACCCCTCCCATCTGCCCCCAGGGAGGCAAGGAGGAGGAGGAGGCCAGGGAGTGGGTGTGAAATGTGTGCTGCAGTTGTGTGTGTCAGAGGAGAGGGGTCGTTTTAGGAAGGTGTGAGCTGGGCAGAGGGAAAGCAGGAGGCACATCGGGGTGTCGAGGAGCAGTAATAGTTACCACACATAGCTCAACACCACTGAGTCACCATCTCGGAGAGGCACCTAGCATGTGTCACCTCTCGTCCCTGACAGGAGGTACCCTTACACCCCTTTCCTAGCTCTTGCGGACTGAGACTCGCAGGTCTGTGTCTAGATGGTTTCAAAGTAGGGATGTCAAGCCATGGAGTCCCTTCATCCTGGGGCTGTGGCGTAAGGAGAAAGCAGGTAACGGCGGGTGTCACTCCCCTTGTATCTAGAGGATGAGGAACTCCAACTGATCCTCCCAGTGTGTCACCTAGTGTGTTGACAAGGAGCCTTGGGTGGCCGTGGTGCAGTACACCTTTAATCCCAGCACTTGGGAGGCAGAGGCAGGTGGATCTCTGGGAGTTCGAGGCCAGCCTGGTCTACAAGAGCTAGCTCCAGGACAGCAAGTGCTGTTACAGAGAGAAACCTTGTCCCAAACCAAACAAAGGAACCTTGGGTGCCAGCAGCATGGTAACCCCAACTTCTGGCACACTTAGGGCAGGTGAAGGGTCTGGGCAAAGTGTGTCAAACCCAGCTGGCAGATGATTGGTGGGGTGTTGCTGTGAGTGTGTAAGATGAACACTTGGTTCACGTTACACACTTCTTAGGTGAAGCTGTGTGTCCTGTCTCCCTGGCAGGAAGTTACAGGGGGAAAAACTGAGGAACTAGTGAGTGCGAACCACAGCAGTCATTAAATATCCTTCCAAGGGACAGCAGCACTTTGGCTCCTTGGGTAAAGGTCTTTGTCAAGCCCAAGGACCCGAATTTTATCTTTAGAGTCCCTGTGGTGGAAAGAGAGAGCGGAAAGCCCTGCAACTCTGACGTTCTCTGACCTGTACACATGTCCATGCCCCACTACCCCACAAAACGAATAAAAGAAAATTCAAAAAATAAATAAATAAAACCCTTTCAAGTTCTATTGAGTCTCGGTAGTGCTGACTCCCTCCTTCAGGCTCTTGCTCAGCCACATCTACTCCTGTTAATCCTTGGGCACACCAGGCAGCTCAGATCTCACCCTAACACTCTTCCCAGTCTCAGTCACACATAGGCTGACAATGTCACTTCTTCTTACTCAGGCTTCTGTGGGACGCCAGGTCTGACCTCAGGTCTTTCTAGAGGCTAGTCTCTACTCCCATAGACTCCTTTTCCTCCTCCTCCAGACCAGGCTCTTTCCCGCCACAGAGGTGGGTTCTTCCTTCTGCTCATCTGGCTGCTCCAACCTACCCTTCAGAACCTGGGCTGGTTATGGCATTTCCAGAAAACTCCCCTTGGGTTCCACATGAAGCCAAGTGCCTCGATGGTGACAGTGCTTCTGGTGTCGGGCATACTTCGGACACCATCCACACTTTGCATTTGTCTGTGGGGATCACTGGGTGAACAGCCACTTCTTGCCACATTCATGGGTGTGATGTGGACAGCATAAAGACCCTGTCTGCTCCTGTCCACGGCTCTACCCTCAGTGCATGATGCCTGGCATGAAGAGATACTTGATGCCCTTTTGCTAAATTAATCACAATGGATTCATGAAGTCACATGATGTCTGGGCCCCTATAAACAGCTTGGGCCGGGGGGGGGGGGGGCGGGGCTGCCAAGCGTGCTGATGTAACTGCAAGGCACGGGTCCACGGGGAGCTGTCGGGCTGGCAGATGGATGGGGTTGCATATCAAGACGCCAAAGAGCCTCTCTCCTGCTCCCCTGAGCAGGTTGGACTCCAGCCCCCAGCACTGGAGAAGTCAATCTGATCCTGATGAGGGGCAGCCAAGGGCAGTGCAGGGCTGAGGGGGCTAGGCTAGACCAGGAGACGGCTGTCTCTGTTGTCCATCAATGCCCTGCCTGGAGCCAGGAGAGCCGGGCCAGGTTAGGAATGCGCTGAAACAGCTTTTGTACTCATTTGGACCAATACAGCATCCTGTGAACACAGAAGGCTTAAGGACTAACTCTGAGGCTGAGGGTGTAGCTCAGTTGGTAGGAGTGCTGACCTAGTATGTTCAAAGCCTTGGGTTCAACCCTCCACACTTGTAATTCAAGGTCATCTTCACCTATGTAATAAATTTAAGGATAGTCTGGAATACATGAGACTGAAAATGGAATACATGTGTCTTAAAAAAACAAAAACAAAACCAAACAAACTAGGCAACCAAAAAGGACCCAATTTCGAGCCAAACTTTGGAGATAGGAATACAGAACATTTCTCTACATCTTTCACAAAACAATATAGGAAAGGAGTTTCAAGGCCATTTAATCCTGCTCTACAGCTTGAATTCTTTCTAATGTCCTCACAAGGCTACATAGCCTCGTTATGCACGGGAATACCAAGGTCTACTGGCAAAAATTACTTTAAAAGAAAAGCCACATCTGCCCATCTCTCCACACATCCAACCTCTCCACATTGCTCCAGCCTTTCAACTCCAGCCCACAGGCACACAGGATGTATTCTTTGATTTGCCTGAATTAACTCATGACCTAGTCAGTGGCTTTCTGTCTTTCATAGACAGACTCATTGTCTCAAGGAACAGCAAGCGACCACAGACCCGAAAGCCAGGAAAGAGAACCCTTGAGGTTTCTGCCTGCATTTCCTGGTGCCGACCAGTGTGTAGTACTGACCGCAAGAAGAACAAACCTGTGTTTTCCTCTCAGCCATTGTTTGCTGGAGTCCCTTTGTGTGTGTGTGTGTGTGTTGTGTGTGTGCGCGTGCGTGCGTGTGTGGTGTGTGTGTGTGTGTGTGTGTGTGTGTGTATCTTGCTGACCTTTGAGCAACCCCTAGCATGAGTCTTACTGCACAGAGTCAGGCAGAGGGGAGATTTTATGCTTTTTAACAATGGATATCATTTCTGCATTCTTGAGGGAAGAACCCCACACTAAGTCCGGAAAGGTACCTTTCTCTTTAGCAAACTCTTTCCGTGAATGTATCTGTGCCTGTGCCTCTCTCTACCGTGAGGGGCACTTTCCTCCTTTGTCCTGCTCTCTAAGAACAAGGGGCTCTTGCCTTTTTTAACCTCTCACCATCTAGTCCATGGTGGGGAGGAATCCCCAACTCTATAGGAAGCCCAGCGCTCTCCTTTCCTCCCCATCTGGTTCTTTTCCCACACAACATTAGCCCATCTCCCTGGTCCCAGTACCTCCTTCCTATGCTCCTGTATCTGAGACTCCAAAGACTCGACTAAGGGGAACGGAAAAGTGTGCAGAGAGCTCTGCCCCCTCACCCCTCCCTTTTTTTTAGTTTGGAAAGGACCCTGTGGGTCCTTAAATGCCTAGGGAATGCACCTATCCTTGGAGCGTGTGTCTAGATTGATTTTCCAGTCCTGGAAGAATTACTGGGTAGAATAATCCACCTGAAGATGGGACTGGATGGGAGTGGCAGAGGCCAATCCCGAGGAGAAGCGCTGGAAGCTGCAGAGCAGTCTTGGGAGAGGGACGGAAGGACATCAGGTAGCTCTCTTATCCCGGGACCTGAAGGACCATGGACTCACCCCACAAAGTAGGAGATGATCAGCAGCTGGACGGCTCGGTTGATGATCCCAATGGTCCAGCTCTTCACAACCACCGACTTGGTAGTCTCGTAGGTGAAGAAGTCTGATATACAGTTCATATTGAGAAAGTCACAGTCACTCAGAACGGCCGTAGATGGCAGCCCAGAGAGACGACCTCAGGACAGGGAGATCAAGGCCTGGAGTGGGTCGCTTAGTGGGACTTGAGGAAAAGATCCTGTAAGCCAGGCAACTGTAGTCAGTCCCCCTCTCTCTCCTCTTGACACTCTGGCTGCCAACCGTCCAGGGCCAGGGCGGACCACCTTTTTATTCGTCTTCTGCGCTCCACTCCCCTGTGATGTCACAGCAGGGGTGGGGTCTCCAATCCCGGGCTCCAGATTGCCTGGGATGCAGCTGGCTAGGGCCCTCTGGGACTTGTGTTTTATCTGCACTCTGTCTACTGCTTCCATTCTGTTCTCTTATGCCGTGTCTCTACCACACAACTCACCAGCTCCTCCGTATTCCCCAAAGCCCCTTGTAAGGGTCTACTCCTGAGTTAGCTGATCTGCCTGAGCCACGGACTTCACTGCTGTGGGTCTGCTGATTTCTACCTAATAGCACAGATGGAGGAGAAAGGGTTCTTGAGTCTCCTGGGAGGAAGAGTCACATACCCCCTCCTCTTTGCCCTCCAGAATCTCATTATGTTCCTGAGCTGGTCTCAGACTTATGTTCCACACTCACAACCCCCTGCCTCAGTCTCCAGAGTGTTGTGATAACAGGTTTGTACCACTGCAAAGTGGAAAGTCACTTAATTTCCAACTCCAGTTGACAGGGGTGGTTGAAACTCTTCTGGCTGTACAAAAATTACCAAATTTCCTTTCTTGCCCCCCGGGTATTCGAATCTTTTGTTCGGGTATGTGCTCCTGAAAGGTTGGGGCTGTTTTAGCCATCTTCACAATTTCCTCAAATCCTGCATTAACAACAGGTTCTCATGACATGTCTTAAACCCAGTTTGAATTAGCAAAATAGTGCTAGCAATAGCAGTGTTTAACCCAGAGGTTAAAGGCACAAGTTCTAGAAGCTAAGAATGTATTTTGACTGTCTCATATCCCAGGATGGAGTTAGCAAGTCAGTGCAGTGATTGTCAGGAAAACCGCGAGTTTAAATATCCTGTCTTATGCAGGATACGTTCTTGCGATTCCTCTAAAGGTTGGACCCTCATGGTTACGATAAAAGGCTGATGTTAAGGATTCTGAATTCTAGGATTCTTTTGTAGGCCTCATTTTTTCTCATCTGTAAAATGGGGAAGGGTGAGAGAAACTCAAACACCTCTTTCAGACCCGACTTCAAATTTTGCAAGATGCACCCTGGTGCTATGTGAGGCCGTCCGGGTTCTGCCAACTCAGGCTGATGTGGTTTCAAGTAAATTCTCGCTCAAAGATAAATCTGACACCAGCACTTGAACTTAATGCGGCCATCTGCCAGGCTCTTCCGGAGAACCCACAAATTAGGAATATGGATGGGATGGTGCTGGGGTTGGAAGGTGAACTCATCTCAGAGAGGATCTGATGCACTTGCCAGGGTACAGCTGGAAAGCAAGCGGAGACACCGTCATTCCTGGCCACAGCTCTGTACTTTTCTGGTTCAACAGACTCCTCCCCAGACTATTTTACAGGAGGGTGGGACGTGAACGATTCCAACGCACAAACAAACCTGAAAGCCTGATAAAACTGCATAATTTTCCCTCGAAATCTACGCTTTGCAGAGCGGCTTGTAACTTTCTAAGCGGTACTCCCTTCACCTAGCTAAGAATCGCTTTGATTGCAGAAGGGGATGGGGGACTGACGCTCTAGGCGCCGTCCCGTTGGTCGGCTCGGCGGGCGTCCTTCTAGCCACGTCTTCCTCTCTATGGTCAGTGCGCGACTTCCGGTGGCGGGACGCGGGACCGCGCACGCGGGAAAAAGCTTCCCCGGCGTCCCCCTCCCCCGCGTCCCTGCCTCCTCCCCCGCGTCCCCTGCGCCCACCGCCCGGGCTGTGCCGTCGCGAGGCTGCAGCTCCAAGAGGTGGGTGGTCGCGATCCCGGGGTCCCGGGTGTGCACGGGTCGCGCTCCCCCGCGGGACGCTCGAGATGGGTCGTTCCGCGTTCAAATTCGCCGGCAGTGGGCGAATCCATGTTCCAAGGAGGGGGAGCAGCATGGGTCCAGGGGGCCTCGGGGTGGTGGGATCGCTGGGATCCGGACGCTGCCCCCTGAGCGCAGCGGAGGTGCCCTCTCCGGGCTGGTCGCGGGGTTCCGCCGATTGTTGCCGTGCCTGTCGGTGGAACGTCCCGAGAGGGTGTCGGTGGGGTGTGAGCGCCACAGCAGGCCTGGTTCTGCACCCAGGGTTCTGGGCCTTGGCCCCGGGGACGCTGTAAGGTCCCCAGACAGTGGAGAACTTGAGACTATCCAATCCAGGCACAGCTCCCCATGGGTGTGCCGAGTGAGGTGGCGCCTTTACTTGTTTATCAATCTCCTTCCCGACTTCAGATTCCCACCCTGCTGAACATCTTCACATCTACCCAGGAATTGGGGCCCAGCTCCCAGAAAAGGGTTCGTCTTCTCTGGTGCAGCCTAGGGCTCTGTGCTCAGGCCACCACGGGCAGGTGAACTATGGCAGAGACACTGGAGTTCAACGACATCTTCCAGGAGGTGAAAGGGTCCATGGTGAGAATTGCTTGGGCTTTTATTAAAGGCAGAAGTTGGGAAGAGTTTGTGTCCGTTAGCAAAAGCTTAACTCTTGACTGCTGTTTTGGAAATAGTGTATCTGGTGTTTCCTCAAGCAGAGCAGCAGCAAAGTTGTGATCTAGAGTTTGAAGAGATTGCATGTGCCGTTCTGTCTTCTACCCCTGTGTTAAGAACCAGGAAACTGGGTACCTTACAGGACTCTGGGTGCCATGGTCAAGCTTGCAGTCTCGCTTCGATGTCTCTTGTGTCTTTTGACTTGATCTCACTACTTGACCTGTTGCTTTTCCATTGATAATCTATTCACGGGTGAGGGGTCAAGTCGACCTGCTACACACTGTATCCTGTTCTGAATCCGGGTTTGTATTTTTGGCAGAACGATGGAAGGCTACGATTGAGCCGCCAGGGTATCATCTTTAAGAACAGCAAGACGGGTAAAGTGGACAATATCCAGGCTGGGGAACTGACAGAAGGCATCTGGCGCCGGGTAGCTCTGGGCCATGGACTTAAACTGCTCACAAAGAATGGCCACGTCTACAAGTATGATGGCTTTCGAGAATCGGTGAGAGATTTGTTGCCATGACCCTCTCTCCTTTTTTAAAAACTGTCCTGCCCTGTTTATTTTTAGTCTTCTAGAGACAGTTGGTATTCTGATAATCATGTCATTGCTCATATGGGCTCCTCAGAGCAGGGCTGCGGGAGACTATTGAACCAAGAACTAGTGTTCCATGTTTTGTGAATTTCTTTGTGCCTGGACTCTGGATTTATCTAACATCTTAATATAAACAGTGGTTTTACTTGCTCCTTCTGTCCTGGTTCAGAATCTTGAGTCTAGAGCTTGGTGCTCTAGGAATTTGTTTTTCCATTTTGGGTTGCTTGGTTTTAATGTCCACTTTCATCAAAAGAGCACCTGCACAGTTTAAACACTCAGCCAGACGATTCCTACATCTGGGAATGGAAGTTTCTTTACTCCTAGCCTGGTTTTTTTTTGGAGGGGAGGACTGTGGTATTAAAAGATACTTTTATTTTAAAAAAATTAGTTATTTTGCTGGGCAGTGTTTGTGCATGCCTTTAATCCCAGCACTGTGGAGGCAGAGACAGGTGGATTGAGGCCAGCCTGGTCTGAGAGCGAATTCCAGGACAGCTAAGGCTAAACAGATGAACCTTGTCTTGGAAAAAAAAAAAACAAAAAAAACCGAACAACACCAAAGCTAATTTTTATGTATATGAGGCTTTGCTGGCATGTGTGCCTGTGCACCATGCACATGCCCTGTGCCCTCAAAGCTCAGAAGAAGGCATTAGGTCACCTGGAATTGAAGTTACAGACAGTTGTGCACAGGCCACCGCCATGTGGGTGCTGGGAATCAAACTCAGTCTTTTGCAAGAACAAGTACTCTTGACCGTCAGGTCTCTCGCAGTGTTTTAAGCAGTTGAACGGTGGTGGCACTTACCTTTAAGCCCAGCTTTCTGGGCTGATCTACAGTGTTAGTCCAGGACAGCCAGGGCGGTAAGACAGATAAACCCTGTCTCTGAGAGTGTGGCTGAGGGCATCTGGTCCCAGAAACAGCCTCTTGTAACAAAGTAAATTTTGTTTTACAACAGTTTCTGAGTTCCTGTTCTGAGTTCCTGTGCACAGTTTTAGCTGTGGCTTCTGATAAAGGATACGTTTCTGAACTTTTTCTGAACTCGAGATCTCAGAACTTTTAAGTTGTGTTAAGGTCCAGAGGGTTTACCAGGATTTCACTTTCTCCTTACAATTTACAGGAGTTTGAGAAACTCTCTGATTTCTTCAAAACTCACTATCGCCTTGAGCTAATGGAGAAGGATCTGTGTGTGAAGGGCTGGAACTGGGGGACCGTGAAGTTTGGTGGTGAGTGAGGAAGCTTGAGATTTGGGGAGAAGGTGGGGTGAGGGCTTCGGATGGTAACTTGCTTGACTCTTTGCCCTAATTTCTAATCCCAGTTTGTGTGTCTAGCTTGTATTTGAATACCTAGCATGTCTAGTGTGTCAGGCACTGTGCCTGCTTGTGGTACGGCGTGAACAAAGTTCTTCTGGTCCTCTGTCCTCACGGAACTCAGAGCTGGTGGGAATGCTTCTGCAGACTCCCAGGGAGCAGTTTGCGGCTTGAATAACCCTTTCCTCACAGGACAGCTGCTGTCTTTTGACATTGGTGATCAGCCCGTCTTTGAGATTCCCCTCAGCAATGTGTCCCAGTGTACAACAGGCAAGAATGAGGTGACCCTGGAATTCCACCAGAACGACGATGCCGAAGTATCTCTCATGGAGGTGCGCTTCTATGTCCCTCCCACCCAGGAAGATGGTGTGGACCCTGTAGAGGTGAGGCTCCTGCTTTTTGGTCCTCTGGGTATTGCTGAGTAGGATTCGGCTGGCCGGCCTGGGAGTAGAGGCTGTTTGATTACCTGTGTGTGTTTGCAGGCCTTCGCCCAGAATGTTCTGTCAAAGGCAGATGTGATCCAGGCCACTGGAGATGCCATCTGCATCTTCCGGGAGCTGCAGTGTTTGACACCTCGTGGCCGTTACGATATCCGGATCTACCCTACCTTTCTACACCTACATGGCAAGACCTTTGACTACAAGATCCCCTATACTACAGTGCTCCGCCTCTTCCTGCTGCCCCACAAGGATCAGAGGCAGATGTTCTTTGTGGTGAGCAAAACTTCTGGGGTGCCTGGGTTTTGCCTAAGTCTTTAGTAGGTAGAGGTCACTAGAGTTCTGTATTGCTTAGTTGTCTGGGTTTCAACAGCCTTGTCCACTGTCCTTACCAGATCAGCCTGGATCCTCCCATCAAGCAGGGCCAAACCCGTTACCACTTCCTGATCCTCCTCTTCTCCAAGGATGAGGACATCTCGTTGACTCTCAACATGAATGAGTAAGCGTCTCACTGAACTCGTTTCTTGCCGCTGTCCAAGCAGAAAGCCGGCCTGCCTCACGATCTCATCTCGCTTTGTTGACAGGGAAGAAGTGGAGAAGCGCTTTGAGGGGCGGCTTACCAAGAACATGTCAGGATCCCTCTACGAGATGGTCAGCCGGGTCATGAAAGCACTTGTAAATCGGAAAATCACAGTCCCAGGCAACTTCCAAGGGTAAGGATGGGGGTGGAAGTCCTGACCCACTGAGGATGGGATGGGTAGGAAATGTCCTGCACCTTAGTAATGAAACCCTTCCTGTGATGGGCACCCTCTAGTAGAAGCCTGGCTACACTTGTAATTGCCAGCATCTCTGTCAAAGCAACGTAGTGGGAGTGACTTCTGAGGGCCTGGGCATTGCGTTGCTACTGCTGAGGTCAGTGCTGACTGGGCTCCTTCCGTTCTCCATCAGGCACTCGGGAGCCCAGTGCATCACCTGCTCCTACAAGGCCAGCTCAGGACTCCTGTACCCACTGGAGCGGGGCTTCATCTATGTGCACAAGCCCCCTGTGCACATTCGCTTCGATGAGATCTCTTTTGTCAACTTTGCCCGTGGCACCACAACCACTCGCTCCTTCGACTTTGAGATTGAGACCAAGCAGGGCACTCAGTACACCTTCAGCAGCATCGAGAGGTAAGAGCCGTCTCCTGTTTCCTCCTGCCGTCCTGATCCTGATCCCCCTCTACCCGGAAGCTCAGACTAGCCTTGGGTCCTTTCTGGGCCCATGATTGGGATTTTCTAGCTAAGTTGAATTTTCTTCAGGTTCTCTGAGATCTGGTCTTTTCAAGTATTCAGACTCTAGAAATGTATTCATTGGTTTTTTTTTTCTGTCCTTAGAAAAATTTTTGTTTTTACATTATGAAAGCTGTGTGTATTGGTTAGCTCATTCTCCTCCACTTTTCCCATGGTGGAAATATTATCTCTTCCTTTCCTGGAATGAGCTTTGTGCCCAGGAACACAGCAGCTAATGTTTATTGAGTACTCAGCTGTGAGTGAGACACTTTACAAACATCTTCGTGTTTAATCCTCATTACAGCCCTGCAAAGGGCGAAACGCAGACCAGTAAAAAAGATGGAAACCTCCCTTCCCACAATGCTGTGGGTCTCTTGGTGACTACCTAGACCTATGCCTCTTCTGTCCCATAACTCTTTAGTGTATGTCTGACCTATGGTGTCCAGGGTGGTGCAGTCATGAGCTCCAGCTCCACCAGCTACCTATGTTGATTCTAACCATCTGGTAACGACGTTTGTCTCCCTCACAGGGAGGAGTATGG